AACCCCCATTTCATTAATTTGAACATAAATCAATCCCTTTTAGTCCCGAACATTATTCTTTTTGGGAGAGATTTTTACATAAAAATCTAGCAATTCTTGAACCCCAGAACCCAATCCAAGCTTCTTGCAATCTTTCTATACCTTGACCAAGTCATCTGTAATTTGATTAAAAATGTTCGTATTAGGTTGAACTCTTGACCTCTTACATGGCTTCATGCTGAAGCAAATAAATCATGTATGTGCTCGTGTGAATCATTAAAATACCAATCATTTAACCCTTGAATCAATCCACATGTGACAATGGCTCACTCTTGAGCTCTCAACTTGCTGACACTATTAGGAAAAGGGGTTGAGGTCGTGGTGGTAGCATCACCACACCGCACTCGTTATATTGTGATTTCTATTCCCACTAACACCACTCTACTAAAAAAAAAAAAATTGCTCACAATATTTTCTTGGTTCATAGGCATGCCCCGAGGCAAGACCCTAGCACAGGAAACGCTTTTCTCTTTCTAAATAAACTTTTTATAGCTGCTAAGAAAAAACCCATGCTCAACATCAGAAGGTGAAAAGCTTTTCTATGAATGATAAGAAATGCAATAGTTTTACACTCAAAATCGGAAAAATAATTTTAAACAGGCTCTAGTTACATTTTTTTTCCTCCTAATGGCATCTCCTCACATACGAGAAAAAGGAGATAATTTAAAAATCCTATGGGCATCAAAAGAGGAAATATTTTTCAATTCATAATATGAAAAACTGAACTTCCTCTTTATGGCATTCGCAATAGTAAAATTCATACAACTTGCATCCAATGAAATTAAATAATAATAAGCCGAGTTTATATCCACAGGTATAAAAAGCCGAATAACTATATCAATTAGAGTTATATTGCATTTTTGGGTACATAGAATTACCTCTATATCTCTCAACAAAACCCATTTGATAAACCCTTTTAGACCCGTTCTCCTCACCGAAATCACTTGCATAACCGATCTCTTTTCTATAACTAAATCATTTTTTTTAAAAAAGAATATTTCAATCACCCATCTCTATTCCACGGATAAACTATTTATCTAAGAAGAGAGTCTTATGGCAACCCATCTCTATGTCATAGCTAAATCATTGTCTAAGAAGAAAGCCTTGAGAGCATCAGACTTTCTCTCGTTAAAAAAAAAAAATACTACCCAAAATCCCCATAAAATTCACTTCTCTATAAAAAACCAATCACTCTCTCTCTGCACGAGGCACGATAATATTAGTTTCATTTCTTGGAAGCTTAGTTCTCTCTTTCTTGAAGCATGGCCTTGCTATGGTGGAGGCACATGCCTCTTTTCGAGAGGAAGCCCATCTTTCCTATAAGATGATGCAATTAATGCAAACATATTTTTTCTCTTCCATCCCACACACACACAAAATTACACACAGGTTTTCTTCCATTAGCATCCTTGAAAATCATGTGACACATAGAAAGGGTTGTGAAGCACTCACTTATATTATTGCCCTTTTCTTATAATTGAAGTCTGTTACTCAAATGAGGATATTTTGTAGATATGAAAAATTATGAGCCAAAAATTCAAACTTTTGCTGGTGGGGAGGGAGGGGTTTGAGACTCTCAAACCCCCCAAGTCATTTATTACCCTCTCTTTCATCCTTCCAAATTCTCCCTCCCTCCATTCTTTCTTTGCTCAACTTTCTCCCTAATTCACCATCCAAAGAGGCTTTGTTAACTTGTGGCATTCCTTTCATCATTCACAAAATACATGTACAGTGGGTCATAGATGTTTTTTATCTATAATGACATCCAACAAAAAGAAAAATTGGACTAACATGATATGTTGATCATCGAAGAATGGATGTATACAGCTTCGTTTGCTAGGGCATCTATGATCGAATTACTTTCGTTATAGCAATGAGAGATGATAATCTGATGTCCGTAACAAAGATCTCTGTTCGATCAAATACTGGAATCGACCTCCAATGCTCATTTTATAACATCAATGGAATCCTCTACAATTTTTAAGTGGTTCATGCTTAATTGTGAGAGTGAAGTCCTTGCAGCAAGGCTCTTGCTTCAGATTCATTTGCTTTTGCTAAGCACACCACACCGCACCGGGGGAGCCTCTAAGAATGAAAGTATATGTCTTCCCTCTGAATCTCAAATATTCAAATATATGAAATCGTATTCAAATGGGAAACTAACTAACTACTCCTAATGAAAAACTACAGGTTTCGTAACACCATCAAATTTAAGTTTTACCTTACCAAGAATTGGTGGAATGCGCGCTGATCTTCTCATGATATTTGGTAGACTCAAAAGTGAGAGTTTCGTGTGTTGTTATGATTATGTCAGATCTGGAGATACCAAAACACTCTTTTGTAATTGAAGCCCATTCTGCTAATGGAGCAAGTATTAGGTCCTTTGTTGATTCCACACATGCACTAAGAAAAGACCATTTCTCCACCAAATCCATATCACCACAGATAAAAAGAATCGCCAAATGATATTGCCTTTTTAGGAAGCAGAGATTTGTACAATTGCTGTGAAAAATAGATCTGGGACTGTACTTATTAAAGAACTCAAACGGTTACTAGGTTACATGATTAAACCAATTTCTATCTCTCTGATTCAATAAGTTTATGAGGGGAATTTATGGAATATATTTTTTAAATTACAAATACTTTTTATTTTATATTCAAATTTAAATTCTCTGGGACTTTTTTATTCCCAAATCACCTGTTTTTCGAACATTGATGGCCAAACCGATCCCTCTTTTTGTTGAGTGAGGAATGTTTCAAACATTGGATCTCTAAATCAGTTTTTTTTCTTCGTAGGCCGGTTTTGAAATCAAATGACTGAACACGTGAATTTCAGTCAAGAAAGAGTGAACAGGTTCAGACATCCGATGTTTAAATCACAAAGAATTTTTTATTCCCGAATCACCTGTTTTTTTAACATTGATGTCCAAACCGACCCCTCTTTTTGTTGAGTGATGGACTATTTCAAACATTAGATGTCCAAACCTATTTTTTTCTTGGTACTTCTGAAATCAAATGATTGAACATGTCTCAAGACATTTGATATCTGCACTAGGAAGATGAAAAATAAAAAATAAGAAAATAAAAAGTAGGACTTTAAATAAAAATTTGGAATATTGGATTATTATTTCCAAAAAAGAAATTTTAGCATAAACTTCCCTGGTTTACAATCAACTCAAATGCAACACAAAAAAAAAAGCGTACCCCTCTCTCTCTCTCTCTCCAATCTCCATCTCAAAATGAGATATTAATACATGATAAAATAAAAAAATTTCTATCCATCTTAAAGATGCATGCAAATAGGTGGTCCATCTAAAACCAAGTGCAACTAATCCAAATGTTTTTTTTAATATAATTATTACTTCTAATTTTCAATTTTTTTCATATTCATGATCTCTATGTTAAAAATTATATATTCCCTAAAAATTAGGACAAATTATATTTAAAAAATATATTTATTGCCAAGCCCGCATTTCTACAATTGCGGGCTGGCCGCGGAGAAACCGTGTTCAAAATTGTTTTACAATAAAAAGCACGAACTATGAGTCTCTCTCTCTCTTAATGTTCGACTACTCAGGCGAGCCAACCCGAGTATGCCACGTTTGTCGGCCTAGCTCGAGATCATAAAACAATTTTACAAAAGAATTATAAAAAAATAAAAAATTTATTTGTATTATATTTTTATATTTTTCAGTCATTTTCGCAAAGATTGGAAAATATTTTTGCCATCAATACTTATTTTCACATTTTCCCTTATGTTTAGATTATTTCAAAAAGGGAAAAGTTTATATAGAGCCTAGGCTCTAAACAATCAAAGCCTACATCAAAATTTTCACTAGAGGCGGTTGTTTTGATGTCCAAGTATTATCAAATTGATCATCTCGACATCAAGATGCATGAACAAGAGAAAAAAATGGATTTTAAGTTATAGAAATAGTGCATCATGTGACGCATTTTTGGACCGTCAATTTTCAAGATTTTTAAGTTTTCATAGATCTACTCAACCTACACAATTTATGAAGCTTTAAAATTTATAACTAAAGATGAAAATATAATTTAAGGCTATAACAAAAATTTTCAGTATTGAAACCATATTTCTCGACACTATTTGAAGGTGGGCTCTAATTTGATTGTTTAGAGCCTTGGGTCTATACAAACCACACCCTTTCAAAAAGACCCCAGTCACAAATGATTTTTTTAAAAAACCATTTTTAATTACTTTTTAACCTCATTTAGATGTGTCATATTTAATTTCACATCAAACAAATTTTCCATATTTTTTAGAACTTTTATTGTTTTTGGCATGGCCTTCACCTGCGCAAGGCCAGGTTTTGGGGCTGAGTCATGTTTTCCTACAGTGTCGGTCAGGATCTCTCTCAATCTAGGAAAAATCAAGTGGTTCAAATCCTAACTACTCGGTCAGATTCGATTAGATCCGAACCAGCCATGGGTCGGTTTCAATTTCAACTGGTTTTTGGTGAATCAGTTGGGTATTTTTTTTAAATAAAAAATTATATAAAATCCCAAAAAATTAAGGGATCTTGTTTTAAATGTTTTTTTTAATATTTTTCACCATTTTTGGTAAAGATTGAAAATTATTTTGGTCATTAATATTTATTTTTATATTTTTTAAAAAATCTCAAAAAATATCTTTGAGCACAAATTGATTCTTTAAAATCTATTTCCTTCATTAATTTTTTATGTTTTAAATATATTTTTTATATTTTATTAATTTTCTATGTTTACCGGTTGAACCGGTTCTGCAGTTGGCCGTGTTGAAGTTTTCCTACAATGCTCTCTCTCTCTCTCTCTGGTTCGGCCAGGATCTCTCTGTCCCTCTAATCCAGCCAAAGTCACTAATCCTCGAGCACACATCCATCGTACTACTATTCTGATTCCTTGGTCTCCACGCCCCTGCGGCTGCGTCCAGGGAATAAACTCCTCTCCCTCTGTCTCTCAAACCACTCATAAGCCATTTCCTTCAAACCCCATGGCGTCAAAACCAAGGCCAAAACTCTTAGACTACCTTCAAATTTGTCTCTCTCCTGTCTAGCAACCCTGTTTCCAGCTACTTTCTCACTCTAAGACAAAACCCCACTTCCTCTGCCCAACAGTTGAGCAATCTGTCTCTTCTTATTCTTCACTTCAATTCTTATTAACTCCAAAGAAAAAAGAAATCAAATACTTTCGTCTGATGCAAATCCATCTCTATTCGACCCAGCCACCCAAATTTTGGAAGCACTTTCTCTCTCTAAACTCTGGCTTTTACCTAAAAGGCCCCATATGCATAAAAAGAATGTCTCATTTTGTCTCTCTAGACTTAAATTGTTTGACATGTTTTGTAAGAACTCGGAGCATAGTTCTCTAAGCACAATTGATACTTTTGTCATGATGGTGGTGATATTATCGTCTACTTTGTCTTACTTTTAGAGAGAGAGAGAGAGAGTTCCATGAAGGACACCACCTTATAAAAAGGGTGGATAGTTGGTGTAGAGGCAGCAGTTGCAGGTGGTTTGAAGTGAGTGAAGAAGAAGCAAATCGAGTCGGTTTCAAGAGAGAGAGAGAGGGATTGGATGGAGATGGCTATGATGGTCAAGAGCGAGGAAAACCATGAGAAGCGATGCTTGGGGATTACACAGGAGAAGAAGTGTGTAAAGAGAAGGAGAAGAGAGCACGCACCACTGACCCGAAGCGATGACAATGGTGATAGCATTAAGGAAATTGACCAATCTTCTTCGACTGCTGTTAAGAGGAGCTCTAGGTTCAGAGGAGTAAGCAGGTTAGTAAATAAATAAATAGAACATCACACTCCTCTGTTGTTTGCTCTTTCTTTCACCCTTATCATTTTGATCACTGATACGGAGCCTCTTATCCATTGTACTGTGTCATAATGATACCAATATTGTGTGAGTGTCGAACATAGATACATGTGTCAAAAAAATATAAAGAACTCGCCTTTATAACGCCTCGAGATATTTGCCTTTACCTTATGTTCGGACATCATTTAGATAAAGGAGAATAAGGGATTTTAGATGACATTAAAGTATGTATACACACATCATATAGATAAAGGTGATGAAGGGACTTTAGATGATATTAAAGTACGAGAAATGACACTTAGATACTCTCCCACACCCACGTGAGTAGGACTTCAAAAGATTATCATCAAATTTGGTATAGATCTCCAAAAAAGTTATTACATGGGTGTGAGACTTGGCTTTTTTAGAGATCTATGCCAAATTTGATGGTGATCATTTGGGGTCTTACTCGTATAGATGTGGGAGGGTCTCATAGGATCATTACTCTTAAAGTATTTACAAACATCATTTTGATAAAAGAGGAGAAGGGATTTTAGATGACATTAAAGCACTTACAAACATCATTTTGATAAAAGGTAAGGGATTTTAGATGACATTAATGGACTTATATAGTAAGATGTCAAGAAGAAATGTCAAAACAAAGCATAAGTTTTTAAGTATCAAACGCATGTGTCGTACACTTTGTGTGTTGAGACACACCAAAAACCATAGCCGTGACGTGTTGATTGTTTCATGTAGGCATCGATGGACTGGTCGCTTTGAAGCACACTTATGGGACAAAGGCTCATGGAATGCATCTCAAAAGAAAAAGGGAAAACAAGGTAAATTTTCTCTAAAACCCTAAGTCCTTTTCTTCCTCAATTTTCCTCCCTCTAAGGAGATGTCTCTCAGTCACAAAAACAAATATATTGACATGATTTCTCTTGTTTTCGTGTTTGTTGTTTATCTTGTTGCTGTTCCTTACGACCGCAACAGTCTACCTAGGTAAGTACTTGTTATATTACATTGAAACTAATATTTTGCTTTTAGAGAATTTAATTGGCTCCTCTCCATAATATGTTTATGCTGATGAATGATTTATTTTGAAATTCAGGAGCGTACGATGAAGAGGAATCGGCTGCAAGAGCCTATGATCTTGCTGCTCTCAAATACTGGGGACCTACCACTTTCACAAATTTTCCAGTAAGTGATGAATTATCTAAACTTTATGGCCCTTGAATTGAGATATGATCAGGAAAGTGTATGTGAATCATATGAATCATCTTTTTGCAGGTAGTAGATTATGAGAAAGAAATCCAAATTATGCAAAATGTAACAAGAGAAGAGTATCTAGCCTCACTAAGAAGGTATGGTCCCAATTCTCATTCATTTCTTTTCATGCTTTATTGTAGATAGACAAATACTCTCCATGATGAGTTCTAGGGAGGTAAAATTAATACGTATTTATTTGTTATCTTCACAGAAAGAGCAGTGGTTTCTCTAGAGGAGTATCCAAGTACAGAGGAGTTGCAAGGTATTAATTCATTTCCAATCAATCTATTTTTTTTTTAATATTTCCCAATTTTTATCTTTCAATTTTTTACAGGCATGGCATGGTTCTTTGGTTAAACCTTCATGGAAACTAAAATTTAATGTTCACTCCCCGAAGATTTCTTATTTACTTGACTAATCTTACAATGCGAAAAAACATAGTTGGAAAAAGGAGCTAATCTAAGTTAACAAGGTGATGGAATCATACGCTAAAACTATAGTGTTTTAATAATGGCATGTCTCCAGATAATATTTTTTTTTATGTTCATAATTATCAAAGCCTGATATTTGGCATAAATTTGAATGTCTTTCTTTTTTGCTTCTTATAGGCACCATCACAATGGTAGATGGGAGGCTAGAATTGGAAGAGTGTTTGGAAACAAGTACCTTTATCTTGGCACCTACAGTAAGTAGTCATCTCCACACTCAAATCTATATTCATATGTGAGAAATTCTCTAAAATAAGTGATAATTTTAAATGAAATTAACAATGGGAATTACTTTCAATTCTATATCACAGGCACTCAAGAGGAAGCCGCAGCAGCTTATGACATAGCAGCGATTGAGTATAGAGGAGTAAATGCAGTGACCAACTTTGATCTTAGCACTTATATTCGATGGTTGAGGCCTGGAGGCCTGAACAATATGGCCAATCTCAACCAACCTGAAAGAGTAGCTTCAAAGATAGATGAGAGCTCTATTCCACCAACTCCTTTGTCGACCATGAATGAGTCTATGGCTGAAGATTTTAGACAAACAACTTGTCTAACGTGGCTTCCTGATATTCTCCACCAACCTCCTCTATCTCCAAATAGTCTTACCATGACTTGTAGAAAATCTTCTTCTTCCCCTACAGCTCTAAGCCTACTACTGCAATCTTCAGTATTTAGAGAATTGGTTGAGAAAACATCGATAGCCTCAGCAAATGAGGAAGCTGTGAGCACAGGTCCTACTGAAGACTGTAGGCAAAGACAACGTGGGAACTGCCCTGATGTTGCTGCATCTTCTATAGCTATTGGGGATGAATATGGTGGGATATTTTATGACTCAACTCATGATCTTGGTGACATACCTTTCATTTGCTCTTCAAATGATGAGGACTTGGTGGTGGAAGGAAGTGTTGAGTACTTTGAGAGGGCTGGATCACAACAGTCGCTGTGGAGCAATGTCTTGAACTCGACCATTGATGTCAATATGTGAAAATTAAGATGGTCATTTTCCATTGATCCTTCGTGTGCAATATCAAGGAAAGTCCAATGTCATAACTGTTGTGTCAAAACACAATGTACTATACATTTTTTTTTTTCTGGTTGAAATTGTTAACTTGCGACCGTATAAGTGTACTGTGTAGATCTATATCTTTTTAGATATTTTTCCTTTCTATTTGGAGGGCAATAAGGTTTTTGATTTTCTATTAAACCTCATACAAGGAAATGATTATGTGATTTGCATAAATTGCACTTGCTAGTTAAAAGGATTTTGGGACTGATAGGAAAGCGGATACATGATACCGTTTTGTTAAACTCTAACATTAGTTGTTGATATGGAATAGTATAAAACCATTATGTTTCAACCAGTAGGGTGCAAAAAATTGATTGGCAATTTTAATGGTTGATTTTAACTATCCAGCCTTCTAAACATTTCCCTAAATCGCCAAAATAAAATTAACTTGTGTGTCTTAAATCCTGATGTAGCATGACAAACAAAAACCAAGATAATAAGAGGAAGTGAATTTGATAAGCGAAAAGAAGTTGAAAAAGCAGGGGAGCAAGTTCCAGTGAGTGGTATCATAAACCAATCAAACTATTAGGTCTGATTGGACGGACCGCCAATTTGATTCCAAATCAATGTGGTTCAATACAAACCTAATTATGAGGAAATCTTAATTGTAATGTAGTTTGTGAAGAATTGCGACATATTTTATGCTTTTGATCAGTTTTCATCAGTTCAACCGGTTTGATGATAGGTCAAGCCACCAATTGAATTGGGCTGAACACTTTTCCGGTTCAGTGACCCATCCATTTCTAATAACACTAGCTCCAACAATGGCTTCACAAATAAACTAGATCACATAAGCGTCTCTGAGAGTCCCCCCTTCCAAACAAAAATCCAAAATTAAAACTAATGCTAAGAGTCTTATTATCATCATCATAACTTTTTTCCAACTATTTGGGGCCAGCTACAAAAATCATGATATGTCATTCTACTCTATTAAGGGCATACCCTCCCCATATATTTTCTCACCACTTCCAACCATGTTCTTTTGAACCTACCTTTTACCTTTTTTGAGCCTCCCACTTAAACTAACTCGCACCTCTTAACAAGTGTCATACTTGGTCAACAATACACGTAGCCAACCTACCTATGTCTACTTTATTTCATCTTATCTTCTATTGGAGCATCACCCAAGTTCTCCCGAATGTATGCATTCCGAATTCTATCCCTTATTGTCTTGCCACTCATCCAACAATGAAAATCGTATAGACCAAGAAATATATAATCAAACCCTCATTCGAATGACTTCAAACTGTCCATGAATAACAACCAAATAGCAAATAACCTCCATAAAATTAGAGAAGATCAAATGAAGCCCTAATGGGAAACATAAAACAAAAAAGAAAAGGTTTCTATTGCATACTCTCGTGTTATGTGGGCCCGACATGTGTTGGGGTGTAAGCAAAAATAGACTTTCCCCGCACCAACTCCCCACAAGCTATCAATGCATTTAATGCATTAGTTGAAAGTTTTCACACGACAAGAAAAAAAGCCACAGTCCGACGAGAGCAAAGCCGCCGCAAAGCATGTATACGCATTAATTGAGGCGGCAAATCGAGCTCATAAAAGGGTTCCTTCTCACACCAATTCAGGTGTTGGGGGCATATGGGATTTTTAAAGAGAGAGAGTTCTTTTTTGTTGTTAAGAGAGTCACAAAGAAAGTAACGTGTGAGTGAGTAACAAAAATAGAGTGAAAGGGTTCACTCTTTGGGGTTTTAGTTATTGCCCATTGTAATTAGACCCGCATAAAATTAAGGGGTCTTCTGTGGTTTTTTCTTGTACTCACCATTTCACACGTAGTGGATCCTTCTCACTGTTTTCGACCGTGGATATAGGCTTTCTAGTCGAACCACGTAAATTGTTGTGTGATCTGTGTGGTGCATTTTAAATTATTTTGTGACCATCATTATATTTCTTTTAGTCTTTCTTGAGGTCCTCTCTTCAACAAATTTGTATCAAAGCTTGGTTCTTTAAATGGCTTCTACAAAATATGAAGTGGAGAAATTTGATGGGCAGAATAATTTCAGTTTATGACGTGTGAAGATGCGTGCTTTGCTGATTCAGCAAGGCTTGCACAAAGTATTGAAGGGTAAAGACAGACTACCCGCGACAATAACGGAATACAACGAGGATGACCTCGAAGCCAAGCCACATAATGCCATTTTGTTGTGCTTGGCTGACGAGATCCTGCGAGAAGTTGCAGAGGAAGAGTCTACTGCTGCACTATGGCTCAAATTGGAGAGTTTGTACATGACGAAATCTCTCTAGAATCGACTGTATTTGAAACAACGGTTGTACACCCTTCACATGAAAGAAGGTACATCAATTAAGGTACACCAATTAAAGACCATATTGATGAGTTCAATAAAATTATTATGGATCTGAAAAATATGGATATTAAAATTGAAGACGAAGACCAAGCCCTTATTGTGTTGTATTCTCTACCTCCCTCATACGAGCATTTTGTTACTACTTTGCTCTACGGAAGGGATATCATCTCTATGGAGGATGTTAAAGCATCCTTGTACTCTACGGAGTTGAGGAAGAAGGTGTCTGAGAATGGAAGCGAGCCTCAGGCCAAGGGTCTGATTGTCAGAGGTACACCAGACAAGGGAAATGGCTGTAGAGGTCGATCTAAAGGCTGATCAAGATCTAGACCAAAGAACATTTGAGTGTTATTACTGTTAGCAGCGTGGGCACATGCAGCACGAATGTTCGAAGCTCAAAGACAAAAAACAAGAGGGAAACAAAGGCCAACTCCTCTAGTGTTGTTGGAGTTGTAGTAGAAAACTCTGCTAGTGCTGAAAATGTCCTCTCAGTGATTGTCGACGATGCATATTTACACGATGAGTGGATTCTTGATTCAAGTTGCTCCTATCATATGTGTCCCAATAGGGATTGGTTCGTCACGTATGAGTCAATCAATGGTGGGACAATCTTAATGGGGAATAACATGGCCTGTAAGAATGTTGATGTTGGGATGATTCAGATCAAGATGCACGATGGCATTGTCAGGACTTTTACAGGTGTTCAGCATGTTCCAGAACTGAAGAAAAATCTCATATCTTTGGGTACTCTTGACTCAAACGGATGTCGGTACGCAACGAAAGGTGGAGTGATGAAAGTCTCTAAAGGTGCTCTCATTGTAATGAAGGGAAAGAGAGTCAATAGCCTCTATTTCCTTCAAGGAATCACAATTATAGGTGCAACGGCTGTATTGTCTTTAGTGGATTTAGATTCAAACACTACTCGTATGTGGCATATGCGTCAGGGACATATGAGTGAAAGAGGCATGACAGTATTAAGCAAACAGGTTTACTTAGTGGTTAGAAAATTGGTAAGCTGGACTTTTGTGAGCACTGTGTCATTGGAAAACAGTGCAGGGTACAGTTCAATACGACTAAGCACATAACCAAAGGAACAATGGATTATTTTCATTCGGATCTTTAGGGTCCCTCCCGTGTTCCTTCTAAGGGTGGTTCTCGATATCTCTTAATTTTCATTGATGACTATTCAAGGAAAGTTTGGGTGTATACTTTAAAACACAAGAGCGATGTGTTCATCACCTGCAAACAATTCAAGACCATGAACGAGAAGCAGTCTGGCAAGAAAATCAAGCGACTTAGAACTGATAATGGCTTGGAATTCTGTGGAGGTGCATTTGATGAGTTCTGCAAGAATAAAGGCATTCTGAGACACCGTACCGTGAGAGGTACCCCACAGCAAAATAGGGTTGCAGAACGTATTAATAGAACTCTTTTGGAGAGGGTTCATTATATGCTCTCTCATGCCGGGTTATCCAAGGATTTTGGGCTGAAGCAGTTAACGTAGCCTGCTATTTGATGAATAGGTCTCCATCAACTGTCGTTGAGTATAAAACTCCTCAAGAGGTATGGTCTGGTGCTCCTGCTAATTACTCAAATTTGAGAATATTCGGTTGTCCTGCTTATGCTCACGTTAATGAGGGAAAGCTAGAACCTAGGGCAAAGAAATCCATATTTCTTGGATATGCATCAGGGGTGAAAGGATATAGATTGTGGTGCCCTGATCCTAAGTCACCAAAGTTTATCATTAGTAGGGATGTTACTTTTGATGAATCTGTCATGCTTCACCCAAGAAAGGAGTGTGTGGATGTAGGAAAAGACCATGTTGTTAGTGAGCAATTGGAGCTAGAGTGTGAGACCCGGACAGAATATTGGAGGACACTCAATATCAGCCTATTTAGGAAGAAATAAAATAATCTAATACACAAGAAACATCACCAAAGGAGCAGTAGTACAATATAGCTACTGGGAGACAGAGGAGACGGATTAGGCCACCTCAGAGATATGCCTATGAAGATTTAATTGCATATGCCTTGACAGTGGCAAAGACTATTGAAGCTCAGGAACGTTTCAGTTTTCACGAAGCTGTCACAACCGATGAATCTGCACAGTGGACTATTGCTATGAGTGAGGATATCGAGTCTCTTCACAAGAAGCAGACTTGGAAGCTTGTGAAACTGCTTATGAGGAAGAAGATTATTAGTTGCAAATGGGTCTTCAAGAAAAAGGAAGGAACTCCAGGCGTTGAAAGTGCAAGGTACAATGCACGTTTGGTAGCTAAGGGCTATAGCCAGAAAGAAGGTGTGGACTTCAACGAAGTGTTCTCACCAGTTGTGAAGCATAACTCCATTCACATGTTGCTTGCCATGGTTGCTTTGCTCGACCTAGAGTTACAGCAACTTGATGTTAAAACAACATTTCTACATGGTGAGCTTGAGGAGCAGATTTATATGCATCAACCAGAAGGGTTTACTGTTCAGGAAAAGGAATACCATGTATGTAAGTTGAAAAAATCTTTATATGGCTTGAAGTAGTCTCCAAGGTAGTGGTACAAAAGGTTCGATACTTTTATGATCGATCATGGTTACTCTAGGAGTGACTATGATAGTTGCGTATATCACAGGAAGCTCTCAGATGGTTCTTTTGTGTATTTATTGTTATAAGTTGATGACATGCTTATTGATGCTAAGAGCATGTCCGAGATCAATAGGTTGAAGGCTCAGCTGGATGATAAATTCGAGATG